GGAAATGAGTGCTAAACTTGAGCTGTAGTTTTTGTTTTCTAGAAGTGGCTTTTATGTCACATGAAAGCTCACATATACCTGTAATGTGGAAATTAACAGGGAATCATTGGGGAAACATGATTTTTAAAAATCCTGCTGTGTGAATACAGTCACAGTGAACTTTGTGGCAAAAGTGAGGAGAAAAATCTGGGACTCCCCAACTCCATGATGACCACTACACTGTGCTAGCTTTCAGGGGGTGGGATGTTAAGGAACTGATGCTGCTCCCTGGATTTCACAACGTGGGTGCTATGTACAAACTCTGGAGTGTAGAGTTGGGATTTTGCATCTTGTGTGCAGCAAATGTTCTGGGGACTATAGCGAAACAGAAGAGGGAATTACAGCACTAAGACTGCAGTCAGCATATATTGGGGGTGAGGAAGCAAGCCGGCATTAGGTTAGAAAGAAACCCCACCCCACCCCTCGGTCTCTTTCTTCCCAGAGTTCCCCTTGCAGCGGCTTGTCCGCCATTGCCCTCTGTTCCAGACCCCCACCCTGTACGTCCCACTTCATGCCAGTTTTGACGGTAGGAGACTCGCATCTCATGCCAGGGAGATCGGCTTCCTTGTCCCTACGTGTCTGGCTGTGGAAGGCTCGGCCTGGCACTGGAATGTACTGGTACCCCTCCAAGAAGTCAGGCAGGGATCTCGCCTTACAGGGGTCGACTACTGGGCCCACATCCAAGAAAATGGGAGGTGGGTGGTGGTGTGGGGCAGGGGGAGGGTGGATGTCCTGCACTTCTGCTTGTTTGCTGAAGTAGAGGAAAGCCAGCCAGCCTGCCAGGTTGCTCTCACTGCCCGGATAGCTAGCACCTGAGTTCATTCAAAGTGGCATGTGAGACAGACAGACAGACAGACTCACTCATAGGGAGTTTCAAACTGAAATGGGGGATTTCCAAAAGATGTTGGTGGGGCAAATCTGATTCTTTCATGCCTGTCTCTCAAGTTCCCTAGTTCTTTCGCAAAAATGTTGCTCCCCCACCTTCACAATTGCAATTGGAATGGGGAAGTGAAGTTCTTCATTTTTTCCCCCTCACACAACTTATTTTTTTCTTAGAACAGTCATCTTATGTTTGGCTCAAATTAATGTACCTGCCCCCCCCCCAATTAGGAAGGAAGGGTGTCTGTAGGTCTTGCACTCCCCCTTCCACAACCTCTCCCCGTAGAATTTGTTCTCCCCTCTACCCACCCCATCTTGCCACTGGCAGTAGGCCTCAATTTGTTCTAGGTTTCACCCCAGGTAGGGCTGCCATACGTCCGGATTTTTGTGGGAATCGCACAGCATTTTGGTGTCCGTGGGATTTTTGCAAAATCAGGAAAAATGTCCAGGAAAACCCAGATGTATGGCAAGGGGGGTAAAGTAAAAAAAATAAAAATCCAGAAAAGCACCAAAACTTTGTGTGTGTGGGGGGGAATGTTCCCCCAAAAAACTCAACTTTGTCTAGATTTTCAGTTTTGGGAATATGGTAACCCTAAACCCAGGCAACTCTTTTGAAGGAAGGTTTCCACTCAAATTGGGAAGCTATGAGAGTTCCTGAACATGTACAAATCCCCCCACAGACGTATATCTGGGGTTGGGGAAAGATTTTCAGTTTAGCGGTTTTGTTATTCAAGAGGATATGATCTTTTAAACCTCTCCTTGAGAAATTAAGCACCGCTTGTGTACACAGAGCAAACACCATATGCTGCTCCACGGGCTTCTGGTACATACTGGATTTAACCCCCTCTCCTCATGCAATCTGTGGGTTTCACCTGGACCGGGGAGGGCTGTTGTGTGGAGTGAGGTGACTCACATCCTCTTTCTCCCTTTCTCTTCATTTCAAGGAAATACGGTACTTGCCATTCCCTATGGGCTAAATTCAAAGAACAAGTGTCATTGATCCCGGTGCCACGAAACTCATTAGGTTTCTAGCCTCTTTTAGACAGTTAGGAAAGGCAGGTGACAGAAACCCTGCCTGTATTTCATGCTGGGGCGGGGCTGAGCGGGAGAGATGGCATCAGCACATAATGTATGGATAGAATAACATTTATTTGCTATTTTTAATTATATTTAGGCATTAAGTTAATTATTTATTATTACATTTACTTTGCTCACAAGCTCAAGGTGGCATGTGTGCTTCTCCCTCCCCCCTCCGTTTCATCCCACAACAACCCTGTGAGGTAGGTCAGCCTGAGAGTTAAGCAGCTCAAGGTCACCCAGTGGCTGAGTGGGAATTTGAGCCCTGGTCTCCCAGAGTACCAGCCCATTATAACGGTTTACACAGCCCTTCTGTATCAAGCCAGCAACACACACCCCTCTCGTCCAGCATCTTGTTCTCACAGATGCCTGTGGGAATCCCAAATTGTGTCCAAATTGCTGTGCAAAGGATATTTGTTAAGTTGTGGGTGAACATATCATGACGACACAGCGATTCTTCAAACAGCTCTTGTTTATTCACAGGCCAGAACAGAACTGAACTGAAGGGTTCAGCCAGCCTGCTTATATAGAGCTCCACTAGAACGCAACAGTAACCATTTTCTGTAACTATCCAATCACTGAACGTCACTTTCAATCCCTTATTTGCATATGTGGACCTGAGTGAAAACTATCTACAGTATCCCCCTGCTGGCCCAGGGTGAGAACTTCAGTACATAACAATATTAGTTTCCTGTAGAGCTATATCCAGGTTTAACAAGGCACCAATCAAAATATCCTTGGATAGGCCCTGACAGGCTAATGTGGCATCTCTGACAGGCAGCAGCAGTGCTCTGAGCTGCGCCATGTGTCGGGGGGGGGGCTGCCATTTTGATTTCCCACAGTGTCCCAGACTGTGGCACTGCAGTGCGGGGGGTTGTTTTGGAAAATAAAAATGGCAGTTAGACCCAGATGCCAGGGGAAAGGTGAGGGGAAAGAGAGCCCTGGCAGCTGCCCAAAGCCCAGCTGGAAAAGTCACACACTTTGCATTGTAGATCGGTGTGTGCATCTGTATTTTGCATCCAGAACACAGGTGTTCATATGAGCTGCAAATCAGCCTAGAAAATGTGGTGTGTGCGCGCTCTCTCTCTCTCTCTCTCACACACACACACACACACACCATCCATTCTTCAATGTCAGGCCTTCATACTGCAACATGTAAAGCAGTAATAAGGAGCGGAGTGCCTCTGAGCATGGGCAAAATGAATTTCTCTCAGAAGTTCCCTTGTATCTGGGAGTAAAGTGGACTAGTTTCAGCTCAGCGGCAGAGCGCATACCTTACATCCAGAAGATTCCAGCATCTTCTGGTAAATGCGGGAAAGAGCCCCCACTGAAACCCTGACGAGCGGCTGCCAGTCATTGTCAGTACTGAGCTCTTTCTCCGGATTGATGGTCTGACTCGGAATAAACCATCTTCCTCTGTCCCCTCCCCCCACATATAAACACACCTTGTCAGCCCTTTGGCCTTCCCGTTCATTTATACACTGGCGTTCTCTTTAATAAAGAAGCCAATCCCCGTCCTGACACACTTTTCTACTCCAGGACAGCCTGCTCTTTGGCCTGTGCTCCTTGGGGTGCTTAATTTGAGTTTTGTCCCAGAACCGTTTTTTAAAAAACCAAAACCCTCAAATCTCCCCCATCAGGCGTTATCTGGAGGGGTTCTCCCCCCTTTCCTTTTTTACTTTCAAGCAGGCTGAAAAGGTACCCCTGATGCGAAAATGTTTGAAATGCCTTTCACTCACCGCCTGCCAACTCTAACAGATTCGGGAGTAGGGGTGGGGCTTCAGAGTCCAAAGGGGCACAGCTATCAGGCAAGTTTGAGCCCCAGATCATGTATACCAATGATGCTGTCTAACACTTTAGTCTTCACCTGGTGGGTTGAGACCCTCTACTGCGTCGCTTCCTGGTGTCAGATAGGTTATTAATAGTAACACCACTATAAAATATAGAATTGGAAATATATGTCGAAGTTCCTGTGCCTCTATTTCACAAGAGCCTGAGAAGGCTGGGGGCTTTGCTAAGGAACCACTCTTGAATGGCAGGGCATGAGTAAATGAAGCGGTGAAGAAGAGTCCTCCTGAGCTTATACAGAGTGCCTTTCCTCAGAAATAGTCCCCAAACAGGGAAACTTAGAGCTTCTATGTCAGACTGAGTGATGTGTGATACGCACAAACTCCCGACACACTCCACCTATTACAAATGAAGCACTTTTCAATATATTTTCAATATATTCACTATCCATCCTCCCCACATTTGTTTCTGTGTCCCCCTCCCCTCCCTTTGTAATTAAGCTTTGCTCTCACTTTCCAAAAGGTCTGCAGTCCCCTTTCCTCACCCCAAAAATAAGACCAGAGACAGATAGGTTACAAACATTTATCTTCTTTATCTGAATAATACAGTTTTCAGTAACACCACACAGACCTCTGGGAGGGAGTGATCACAAAAGATAGTCCCATTTGACCCTTCTTGCTCAAGGGGAAAGAGTTACCTCAGGAAGTCCCCCCCCACCCAGTGGCGTAGCGTGGGGGGTGCAGGGGGGGGCCGGCCGCACCGGGCGCAACTTCTGGAGGTTAGGGTTAGGGGGCGCAAATCCACGGGTTGGGGGCACAAATCCACGGGTTAGGGGGCACAAATTACTTGCCTTGCCCCGGGTGCTGACAACCCACGCTACGCCACTGCCCCCACCCTACCCTTTCCTTAGGAAACTTCTGAAGGGAAAAAAAGGGGGGCAGGGCTGAGAATCCTGTTTCCCACCCCCATTCCAATAACAGAGGGGGTGGAAGCCAGAACAGCTGGGTTCTCTTCCCAAATCTGTGAGCGGAGGGGAGCCTAATGCATCAGGGTGTGTGAGAGAGACAGATTTCCTCCTTGCACTGTCTGAGGCAGGCTGTGGTAGGGAGCAACAGGGGCAAAACATCCTCATCTGTTTGTCCAGGCCTCTAGGAGTAGCCAAAGCCTTGACAAATTATTAACCAGCAAGCAAATAGCACCAGTCCAAGGCAAAAGAGGGTCAGGGTCTCCTGCCACATCCTGCCTAGCCCCCCTGCACTCACCAAACCAAGGCTCTTGTTCCTCACTTCCCATTTTATCCCGCCATTCTCACACAAGCCTTGTGAGGAAGTCGTGCCTTGCCTCCATTCTCCACACCCCTTGTGGTCTCTTTGTTCTTGATATGCCAGGTTTGGGTAGGCTTGCTTACCCTGCCCATTTCTCCTTTGATTAGTTTCATTTCTACCCTCAAACCTCACCCCGTCAATTCCCTCTTTTGTTTCAGCCATGTCAGCATCCAATTGCCATTTCCAATATTAAAAACCACTTGTTCTCTGACTCTCCGTTTCCCCCTCACTTTTTGTTCTTGACGAAACTTTTTCTAATGAGCTGGTTCTTGCAGCAGAGCTGCTTTATAACAAGACAGACAGTCCTCCTCAGTGTTTCCTCTTTCTCTCATATTTAATTTCCCTGGCTCTTCTCATGTTTCTGCCTGCGTTTTGTTTGTTCACAAGTGCCTCTCCGTTCTTATCTGCCCCTATGCCTCCATTCCCAAACAATCATTTGCTGGCTTAGCCATTAACTTGGCCCGCATTATCCTTGTCCCATCTCCCTGCTCTCATTTGCTCAGCCTCCTCAGGTACAGTTTCTGCATTCCAGTTGTGTTTGCTGCCCCACTCATCTCTTTCCTAATTGTTTGTTCATTCTCTCACATATCCGTTTATTTGTTCATGTTTCCCCTAATCTCCCACCCGCTCATGGTCTCACACATACACCTGTGCATGTGCACGCAACTGAGAATTGCCAGATATCACGGCTCAACCCATACCGATTGGCTTTGTCCCATTTCCCCCGCTGAAAAAGTCCTTGGGCCAGTAACTCCTGTCAGGGTTTGGGCCTAGCAACATCTGGCAAGTCTACCCTCCCCCCAACCACAGCTCTTCATACATAGTCCCTCTTGTCGATCCCACTGCCTGGAGGCGCAGTGGATCTGGCCGGGACGGAGTACCCAATGCGGGCTGGGTAGCGGTCTTCCCGCGGCGGGCAGGAGCAACATAGAAGAGACCCTCCAAGCAGCAGCAGTGCAGAAGCTGCCCAGCCAACATAGAGGGCGGCCCCCAGCTCCCTTTTCAGGGCCTCGACCACCATTGGGTTGTAGAAGTCGCGGATTATCGAGTTGGCCGACCAGCACACCGGGATGAGGGTCAAGAGACCCGAGATGATGAAGAGCGCCCCCGAGGTGATGACGATGCGTGCCTTGGCCCCCTCGTCCTCCACGCAGTTGGTGCACTTGGCTCCCACGATGGCCACCAGCAGTGCCAGGATGGCCAGCAGCACAGAGACGACCATGAGGGCCCGGGCAGCTTGGACGTCCTGCGAGAGGGCCAGCATGGAGTCGTAGATCTTGCACTGCATCTGCCCGGTGCTCTGCACAATGCAGTTCATCCACAGCCCCTCCCAGATGATCTGCGCCACGACAATGTTGTTCCCGATAAACGCGGTGACCCTCCACATGGGCAGGGCGCAAGCGATGATGGTCCCTATCCAACCAACAATGCACAGGCCTATGGCCAAGATCTCCAACCCTGCGGAGGACATTGTGAGCGGAGACTTGCTTTCTTAGCCTGCTGCAAGACACGTACTCCTTCTTCCGCCACCCTCTGGGAGGGTCGGGGAACGCACGTTTTACCGGGCAGCAGTGTCCGAAGGCAGGCTGTCTTTTACAGGGATCAATGTGGGTGAGAATTCAAAGACACACAATCTTCAGAGTGAAGGATGCTGCAATGGGAGATAACTTATTTCCCCAAAGAGCAGCTTCGGCCAGTAAGTCCTGGAAGGATATTCCAACGACTTGTGGGCCCAGGAGGAGGGTTTCTGATGGGGCTCCTCTGCAAAACCAAGTCTCTTTATCGGACCGGTTGATGACACAGCTACAAAAGAGGCCTTCTTGTGTTACCTGCGACTGGAGATGCCAGCCTGGAAGATGGCAGTCAACAGCATCCAAGAGATGGTCTGTGATGTGGAGTCGTCCAGGGATACCTGTCCTTTTATGAGCTTTGGCCGGACCAAAGGCAGACAGGTGCGGTGGAACCAGCAAAGGAAAGAGGCCCAGGAAGGAGCTGCTAACGATGGTGGGAGCTGGACAGATCCTCCGTCTTCTCTTCCCCTCCCTGGTTTCGGCAGGCTGCTTGTTATTGAATTTGCTCTCCTTCACAGGTACCTGCTGTTGTCTAGAAGGATCCCGTGGGAGCCCGTGCTTAGGGACAGGGAGGGGCGGGTTATATGAACCCCCAACAGGTGGGTGGGAGGAGCAGGCAGCCCAAGCCGAGAAGGGCATTGGGGGTTCCATGGTAACGACAGAATGGGTGGTGGTGTCGAGGAGAGAGTTTGAATATTTCTTTATTTTCTGTTGGCGAGTTGGGAAGCTGCCCGTTCTAGAGGGGAAAGGGTGGGAGGGGAGGAGAAGGCTGAGAAAAACAAGCAGAGGTGGAGAGAAGGAGGGAGGTGGGGGGAAAGAGAAAGAGCGATCAAGCGAGAAAGGGAGTTTCTGTGGTTGAATTCAAGAGGCACAGAGAAGTGGAGCCTATCAGATATTCCCCGTGCCAGCCAACTGCAGCATCATGAAAGAAATGATGAATATGCAATATATGTAATAATGATGATGATGATGATGATGATGGAAAGGGTGCCTAGTTAGAGGCACCCACACATCCCATATCATACCCATTGTACAAATGCAGCTCCCTCCAGGGTGGTGGGTGTCAGTGTTGGGGAAAACTTATGGCCCACCAAATGTTTTTGGATTCCAGCTCCGATCATCCCCAGGCAGAATGGCCAATCTTCAAGGGAAATGGGTATTATAACCTGGGGAGCCAAAGGTTTCCCCTCTGAGGTGTGGGTGAATAGCAAGGGTATAACTTTGCAATTGAGATCCTGTGCGCTTGAGTGGGGAGAGCCAAGTTCAAATCCCCACGCAAGTAGTAGTAGTAATAATAATTAATTTATTATTTCTACCCCGCCCATCTGGCTGGGTTTCACCAGCCATTCTGGGCGGCTTTCAACATAACATTAAAAACAGAATAAAACTTCAAACATTAAATACTTCCCTAAAAAGGGCTCCAGTTGCGATGTTGAAGGGAGCACAGCCACGTAGGGCTCTCTAAGCTCTCTGGAGGGAGGGCGGGATACAGATGCCAGAAATAATCAGCATTTGTGTGTAGCCTCCTTTCACTTGTTGCCATAACAAAGCTGTTTCAAACCCAATCCTAAGCAAGTTTGCTCCAGTAAAACTCACGGAGTGGCACTCAGGCTGGGTTCACTTCCCTGTTTACTCCGCACCCAGTGTGCTCCCCCCACTGTTTTGGAAAGCGGTGTGCAGTACACACGATGATAACCATAATCCACACCCCTCCTGTCATTTTGTATGATGCACTGCTTTGATCTGAATTAATAAAAAGAACGACCTAGGACTCAGCTATACAGCTGCAAATAAAATGTTTTTAAATGTGTTGTAAAGAGCAGTGTACAAATGTGACACTAGATGGCGACAGTGGGCTATGCCGAATTCAGTGTATTTTTCAAAACATTATTATTACTTTTTTAAAGCATTTTCACAGCGTTTTTAATACGTGTGTAGATTCCACCTTAGTTGCACTTTAAGCTGGTAATGTATGCAGGGCCTTACGCAGCTAAGTGACTTTGGGCCTACAACATTTATTGCATGGAAAGGTAAAGGTAAAGGTACCCCTGCCCGTACGGGCCAGTCTTGCCAGACTCTAGGGTTGTGCACCCATCTCACTCAAGAGGCCGGGGGCGAGCCACAGCTGCATACGGAAACGCCGTTTACCTTCCCGCTATAAAGCGGTCCCTATTTATCTACTTGCACCCAGGGGTGCTTTCGAACTGCTAGGTTGGCAGGCGCTGGGACCGAACAACGGGAGCGCACCCCGCCGCGGGGATTCGAACCGCCGACCTTTCGATCGGCAAGCCCTAGGCGCTGAGGCTTTTACCCACAGCGCCACCTGCGTCCCCTCATGGAAAGGTAGCCTGACAATAATGCAGAACGCAACAATGCATGTTAACTCTAGAAAATAACAGCAATCCAGTTAGCAGTCCACAACGTGGGCATCAAAATAATTTCGGTGGCCTTTTGAAGCTATGATAGGAAAACAATTTTATGCCTGGTTTTTATTTCTGATTAGACCAATAAGATCTCCTTAAAATAATCCTGAGAGGTAAATAGCAGTGAGACAAATATAGTAATACAGAGCACTTCAAAGCATTCATATTCAGGGAGGAGAGGAAGTATCCACATGTATGCTAAAATCCCTGCAAAAAATGATTTGTTTTTGCTTTCATTTCAATTAAAAACAGTAGTCATATGCAGTAAAACAAGCAAAAATACCATTTGTATCTAAACAAAAGTGAAAGCAAAATAAACAGGTGTGTTGTTGTTTAAAAAAACATTTTAAAATTAAAAGTCAATACCACTCCAAGGTCCAAAAACAATGGAAAACTAACTAGGGTGGCTGGAGTAACCCATTCAGATGGGCCGCATATAAATAATAAATTATCTTTGGTAGACTACTAATGATACTAATACAGAGTATCTACTACTAATAGTAGTAAACATCCACAGCATGCTTGGTTCAGGGCAAGAAACTAACAGGATTAGGCGGTCTAAAGGGGTTCTTCTGTCTCCAGGTCAAAAACAAGTCATGTTATCAAAGCCTGATAAAGAGCAGCTTAAGCACACATAACTCTGAAGGAGGTTGATAATGTGGCAACCGCAGCTGATAAGAAGGAATTTTTTTAAAACAGTAACCATGGACAATTTATTTTGCCCAGTGCATTTTCAAACAGTTTGTAACCTTAGCATAGCGGCTTCCCTCCAAACGAGAGATTACTCTTTTCTGCAACAGGCAAAGGAATCTGTGGCTTCCACATGCAGCTGGGCTACAACCCCTATGATCCCTGACCATCATCGATGCTGGCTGGGAACACCCGAAAGATCGTATCCTCTCTTAACTACTGAATCACTGTGCTCTGCAGGTGCCATCTTATCAGGAGGGCATTTCTGCACAATATAGGAATTGGGCCTTTAGTGTGGTGGCATCTGCCCTTTGGAATTCCCTCCCCTTGAATATTAAGGCAGGTATTGTCTCTGTTGTCTTTTTTGTGCCTACTGAAGACCATCTTCCAATAAGGCTTTTAAGTTGAGATCTTTCTTGCTCTGCATCTGTGTTGGCATTATTTTTTTGAGATATTTTTATTTTTTAATGTTTTTTAATGCTTTATCTTTTGCCATTTGCTGCCCTGGGCTCCTTTGGGAGGAATGGCAGGATATGAATTTAACATGTAAGTAAGACCTGCCAACCTAGCAGTTCGAAAGCATGTCAAAGTGCAAGTAGATAATTAGGTACCGCTCCGGCGGGAAGGTAAACGGCGTTTCCGTGCGCTGCTCTGGTTCGCCAGAAGCGGCTTAGTCATGCTGGCCACATGATCCGGAAGCTGTACGCTGGCTCCCTCGACCAATAAAGCAAGATGAGTGCCGCAACCCCAGAGTTGGTCACGACTGGACCTAATGGACCTTTACCTTTTAAGTTGAACGATGGGATGCGGGTGGCACTGTGGTCTAAACCACAGAGCCTAGGGCTTGCTGATCAGAAGGTCAGTGGTTCAAATCCCTGCAATGGGGTGAGCTCCCTTTGCTTGGTCCCTGCTCCTGCCAACCTAGCAATTTGAAAGCACGTCAAAGTGCAAGTAGATAAATAGGTAGAACTCTGGCGGGAAGGTAAACGGCATTTCTGTGCACTGCTCTGGTTTCGCCAGAAGCAGCTTAGTCATGCTGGCCACATGACCTGGAAAAACTGTCTGCGGACAAACGCCGGCTCCCTCGGCCCGTAAAGCGAGATAAGCGCCGCAACCCCAGAGTCGTCCGCGACTGGGCTTAACGGTCAGGGGTCCCTTTACCTTTAAGTTGAGCAATAAACCGACACCTGGAGGGCCACACAGCGTCTCCACCACTGATCTGGAACAACATAGCGGAAACCCCTGGAGCTCCCTGCTTCCAATCTATAATAGGTGCTGGAGCAGGCTCAAACTGACAGGCCATCACAGAATTCAGGAGTCACCAGGCTACTCTGAGAATCTCCTCAAAGGAAAAGGAAAAGATAAACATGCCCACATTTTACAGATAAAAAGTGGGGCAGATGGCTGGCAGATTGTCTGCTCTGAATGGGGTTACATTCCCTCTGAAGGAGCGGGTACATAGCTTGGGGGTACACCTGAATCCTTTGCTGTTGCTTGAGGCTCAGGTGGTCTCAGTGGCACCGAGTGCCTTCCATCACCTTTGGCTGGTGGCCCAGCTTACACTCCTATCTGGACAGAACAGGGAGGGTAAATGACTTTGCATGAAGCAAAAATAAAAATACAGATAATCAATACTCCAGCTGGATAATAAAAAATAATAATTAAATAGCTGAAAAGACCTGTCAGACTCCACTAACCCAGAAATAGTACCTCAGGTTAAGAACTTTGCTTCAGGATGAGAACAGAAATTGTGCAGCAGCGGCGCAGCAGCAGTAGGAGGCCCCATTAACTAAAGTGGTGCTTCAGGTT